CTAGGAGATAGCAAGCATGTTGCATTGAAAAGTTCATAAAACAGTGAAAATATAGAGGGGAAAAAAAAAGAAGGAAGTTCTAGCAGAAACGAGCATAATTTCTGAGCCTCCTCGATACCCAAAATCTCTAGTTTCCTGCTATTTTCTTTCTACCTCTGTCATGGTAGGGTGGAAAATGGAAATATATCTTGTAGAAATAGCTCAAGAAGTGATACAGGGGAGTCAAATAATTCCTGGAAATTTATAGACTTTGTCTCTGCTTTTGCTCATTGATCCTCTGTATGCTCCTTGATCCTCTTTTGATCCTCCAGAGTCAGATAAATTCCATCGATAATTTCAGTTTAATTCTTAAGGTATGGTTTTTGTGAGAGTACAAGTGGTCCTCAGGCTTCTTACTGACAGAGCAAGGTTCTTCCACAGCAACTTACAGCCAAGAGTGTAAGTCCCTCAGACGCATCCCACCGATTTAATCCCAACATTGGTTTTAATTTCCTTTATTTTTAATAATTAATACTTTAATTAATCGTTAGTTGTGATCTGACATTTACAACTCTTGATGCTGTCCCTGATGGGCTGGAGCTGGTGGAAGCAGCGGCTGCTCAGGCGGCGGCGGCTCCAGCCTGGGCTTCGCTCCTCGTCACCGAGGAGCAGGTTGAGGGCAGCCGCCGCGCTCTGCTCCTGCTCCTGCTCCTGCTCCTGCTCCTGCTCCTGCTCTGGTTTCCAGGTGCTGCAGGAGGACCAGGTGAGCCGGGTTTGCTTTGCTGTGCGTCCCCGTTTCTGCTTGACGTCGCAGCTGCTCTGTGCCTGCTCTCGCCGCAGGTGCCACGCGGGGCTCTCGCTGCCCTCATGGCAGTAGCCGTGCACCGAGAAGCCGCAGGGGAGAACGTGTGTTTAGAAACGCTGGGAGGGTTCGGGTGCTGGTAGCACGGTTTGCTGCCTGCTCTTACCTTAGGCAAGGTAAGTGTCTCCAAGCCAAGAGCTGGCTTTCTCCTCCTGCTCCTTTTCTCATGTTGCTGTTCTCCAAACTACAAGACAGCTCGGGTTGCTGAGCAGAGCCCCAGCCTGCCCCAGCCTCAGGCGCGAGGCGCCGGCACCGTGCAGGGCCCGCGGACGTGGGGTGGGAATGGGACACGTAAATGCACATCTCATGTCCTGAATAGCAAATGTAACTTGCAGCCCTTCTGCCTTTAATGCGGTAAAAGCAAAGGCAGCTGTATACAAACCATTTGGCAACAGCTGAATGTTCAGGGTATCTGGGACTCTATTAAATCTTTTATATGCCACGTCTTGAGCAATATGCTACCAGCTGATGCCTGCCTTCTGCATCGCAAATCTGGCAGCATTGCATACAATTTTTTCTAATGGCTGTATTTAACCACTGAAAAAAAATTCCTTTGTGCAGTGAGGAATTATGCAGAAACGAGGACAAAGTGATCTCTTCTTTCTGCTTTCTTCATTGCTTTACATTGTCACGAAACCTAGATCTGCTTGAAAAGCACATCTCAATTAAAAATAAAAACACTTTGATTTTTACCCAGTATGTATTTATTCCTTCTGCAGAAGCGGATACATGAACAGAGATTTAGAAAAAAGCTAGCTGTTGGGACACGTAGGTGTGTGCAGCTGCCGTGTTCCTGTAGTCAGTGACGTTGTGCGAAGGTGTCTGCCTGTCCTGCAGGACCTACACGGTCCCACCTGGCACGTTCTGAACCGACCCAGTTCCTTACGTGAGCTGGGCTAGACTAGGTCTCTGTCAGTAACTGCATTAACGCTGCCCTTACCTGTTAGGAACTGCAGCAGCTATAGCAATGCAAACGTGCAGCACCGCAGGAGAGGCCCTGCCGCGGCCGGCAGCGCGGCCGTGGGGGCACCTGGCACAGGGCACTGCGAGCAGAGGCGAGAAGGACAAGGAGATGGGGAAGGAGATCTCTGTTTTTGCTTGTTTGTTTGTTTGCTTTTTCTAGAAAACAAAACAAAAGTTTCTAAAGGACTTGACGCTGGAATGATTTTCTATAATATAAGAGTTGCAGCTCAGAAAACTTTTTATTGTGGTTACCGAGTGCAACCGGCTTTCATCATTTTCTCATTTATTATATTAGGCTTTTTTTCCCCTCCGATAAACGCAGAGCAAGTGACATTATAAAATGCAATACATGTTAAGATACAGCAAGTTAGAATTACTCATTTGAGAAACTCTGTGATGCTTGGTTGTATTTCTTGTTCTTTCGAAATGAAAATCCAAACCAAAGAAAAAATAGAGAGCGAATTTAATGAGCTTCCAGCCTTAATGTGAAATAAACTGAAATTGGAGAAGAATGTTGTTTAGTGCCTGGATGGCAATTACTCGGAGGCTTGTTTTTAGAGAAGTCATATAGCAATGCCATGTTTAAAGGAAATACAGTTAGATCTTTTCTGCTTGAAGAAATTATAAAAGATGAAGTTGTTTTCACACTCTTGTAAACTGTACAACCAGATCCAGCTGGTGCTTTGCATTGGGCTAGGTAGTTCGTTATTATCATTGAATTTGCAGTGAATTGTGATTTTACCTTACACTTTTGTGATATAAGTAGTAGATGATGTGGTTTTGCTCTTCACGTGCTTGCGGCAGCAGTGGGGGACATGGGGATCAGGAGCTCTGCTTGGGGGCTGAGCAGCTTAGCTTGGGTGGCCAATAATGAGAGCATTACATGAACATTAATTATAGAAACAAGGTTTTATTGGAAAAATCAGGGTTGGGAGGCCGCCTGCGAGCCAGTTGATTCCTCTGGCATCCGCACACGCCACGTGTGTTGGGTGCTCTGAAGCCAGCGTCGCAAAGGCCGCGTGCTTGGCGGCGAGTGCCCCGCGCACGTGTGTGCGCATGCCGTGCAGTGTGCATGCAGTGCAGTGTGCATGCCGTGTGGTGCACGTGCCGTGTGGTGCACGTGCCATGCCGTGCGTGTGCCGTGCGGTGCCCGTGCTGTGGTGTGCCTG